CTCAGTCTATTAGGATTCTGTCCCACTGGCTCAGTGCTCTGTCTAGGACTCTGCTGGATTTCAGGGTATGTCTCTAGTGGTGGGAGTGGAGACAGGATTGGCATTCTGTTGGTGTACCCCACTGTCCAACTGTCTTCATGCCTGAGCTTGTGGAGTTGGTCTCATATGTGGCTTGTTGTCTTGAGGGACTTCCAACATGCGTGTTGAGGCTACCTTGTTTAGAGTGGCTCAGAATTTCATGGTCTCTGTGACAACTGTTCACCTGTGTCAAGTAATAAAAGGCCCCACACACTATGCTGGTCACACTCTTGATCTGGTATTTTACGCCAGTTTGGTGTAGTGGTTAAGTGTGCGGACTCTAATCTGGGAGAACCGGGTTTGATTCCCCACTCCTCCACTTGCACCTGCTGATATGACCTTGGGTCAGTCACAAGCTCTGGCACAGCTGTCCTTTGAAAAAGAGCAGTTTGTGTCAGCCCCACCCACCTCACAGGCAATGATCCCTCTTAGCTGTAGAGTCTTCTGAGCAAAAATTCTACTTTGTGAGCTACTGGCATTAAAGTTGTGAGCGAGCGATTTGGCTGCTGCATAAATCAGTTTGCTTTGGAGCCATCCTTCCTGAGCTAAGACAGAAATGTGTGAGCCGGAGGCTAAAAATCTGTGAGCTGGCTCACACTAACTCAGCTTAGAGGTAACTGTGCTCACAGGGTGTCTGTTGTGGGGAGGGGAAGGGAAAGGAGTATGTAAGCCGCTCTGAGACTCCAAGTGAAGGGCGGGGTATAAATCCAATCTCTTCTTCTTCTCTTATTTTTCTTCTATTGGGATCAGGAAGAAGGTGATCTAAAGATGGAGGGGACTGAAGATGTTCCTCTTGTTCTGGATTGATCACTAACTGCTAGGGTTTGGATTTACAGGACTACCAAGACTCAGCAGGGGTGGGAGATCAATTAAGATAATCGGCCCATCTAGTCTGATGTATCCAATAGGTTGTCACTCCTATCAATGCCCTGGTTGACTTCTGGATTGGGGAAATGACCCAGGTATTAGCCAAATTGCCTAATTTTAATAATACGCTTGGGGCATTATTAATATTAAATGGCAATAGGCATACAATATAGGATTATAACCAAGGCTCCCTCTAAGCTGTGGAGTCTTGTGAGCAAAAATTCTACTTTGTGAGTTACTGGCATTAAAGTTGTGAGCGAGCGATTTGGCTCCTGCATAAATTGGTTTGCTCTGGAGCCATCTTTCCTGAGCCGAGACAAAAATGTGTGAGCCAGAGGCTAAAAAACTGTGAGCTAGCTCAGACTAACTCAGCTTAGAGGGAACACTGATTATAACCCATGTATACCAAAGTCAGGATTCGCAGAGCCCATGAACAGACAAGGAGACCAGGTTGCTAAAATAATTTATTTCTTTACTTAATGATTCTCAAGCATACAAATTCTCACACACACAAAACAGAGCTAAGCATAAAGGGTTGAAAAGATAGTGATGCCTGCATGAGCAGGAGTATCGTTGGTGAGTAATATGTCACCTGTCCAAAGAGATGAGTAGATCATGCAGGGGGAAAATGAACCAATGAGGGTGTGGGGGGTGAACCGTGGGCTGACCAGTGACACATGTGGACTGATTCCAAACCGGCCTAGAATGGAACCAACAAGGTAGGATGGGGCGAAGAGAAGAAGAGAGCGAACTCAGAGAGAGCTCACCTTAAATAGTTAAATTGTGACCGGAGGCAGTGGCCAGGTGGTCACAGGTTCCTAGGAAGTGTTAGAAAAAAATTATACTCTGGATGGGGACACACAAAAGAATTGGCAGTTGGGCAACCGAGTTGATGGTGGGCAGGGAGTGACACCTTTCGGGGAAAGGGATGAGATAAAGGAGAGGGCAGAGGGATCCAATCACATTGCTGGTTCTGGTCCTTCACATTAATGACCCGATGCTTGGCAGAGGCATTATCTTGATGGCTGTCAGGAAGGTTTAATGACTTCTTTTGTCTTAAGCTGGACAACAGTCACCATTTGGGAATGGCTTGGGAGGGGGAGGGATGTGCTATGTTTGGTGTGGTGGTTAAGTGTGCGGACTCTAATCTGGGAGAACCAGGTTTGATTCCCCACCCCTCCACTTGCACCTGGCTGGATGACCTTGGGCAAGCCATAGTTGTGTCAGAGCTGTCCTTGAAAGAGCAGTTCTTGAAAGAGCTCTCTCAGCCCCACCTACCTCACAGGGTGTATGTTGTGGGGAGGGGCAGGGAATGGAGATTGTCAGCTGCTCTGAGATTCCTTTGGGTAGTGAAGGGCGAGGTATAAATCCAATCTCCTCCTCCTCCTCCTCTTTTTTTCCTTCTCCTTCACCATGATGAAGAAGAAATTACTTAATGGTTTCTGTGCAGGAACGGGGTCCTCTCTCAGAACATGGATTCTCTTCACGTCTGCGGGAGCAGTGGCACATGGCGTTAAAAAGCCTGCAGGTTAATCTAGCCGTACTGCCGATGGCAGTTCGAGTCCCACCATGGCTGGGGTGAGCTCCTGGCCTTTTGTCCCAGCTCCCGCCCATCCAGTGGTCCGAAAGCCTGTACAGGCAAGTAGTTAAATGGGTACCTGACCCCAAAGGGCCACAAAAATTAAACACTGAGGCAACCCTCCCTGCCCGTCATCTCATGATCTGCCCGAGTTCACAGAATCAGCATTGCTGTTAGATGGCCATCTAGCCTCTGTCTGAAAACCTCCCAAGAAGACTGTTCCACTGAGGAACTGCTCTAACTGTCAGGAAGTTCTTCCTAACGTTTAACCGAAAACACTTCTGATTTAATTTCGACCCATTGGTTCTGGTCTGACCTTTTGGGGCAACAAGAAACAACTCTGCACCATCCTCTATATGACAGCCCTTTAAGTAATTGAAGATGGTGATCATATCACCTCTCAGTCATCTCCTATCCAGGCTAAACATACCCAGCTCCTTCAAACTTTCCTCATAGGACTTGGTCTCCAGACCCCTCACCATTTCCGTTGCCCTCCTCTGGACATGTTCCAGCTTCCCTACATCCTTCTTAAATTGTGGTGCCCAAAACTGAACTTTGCACCTTCCTTGTAAGTTGCAATGCTTAATGTAAGAGTCACATAGAATAAATGTCAGATGTTTTAGAGCTGCAAGGCATGAACAAATGTTACAATACGTCACACCCTGCATGCCCAGGGTAATGCTGATCACCACTTTGGGGTTGGGAAGGAATTTTCTTCCAGGCTAGATAGGCCCAGGGATCCTGAAGATTTTTTTGCCTTTCTCTGGGCACAGAGCAGGAGTCACTAGGGGAGTGGAAGGGCAGTTGTGAATTTCCTTCATTGTGCAAGAGGTTCAACTAGATGATCCTTGAGGTCCCTTCCAGCTCTGCTTCTGTGTTTGTACGTATGTTTTTCTGTGTGTGCTCATGGATGATTTTTTTTTTTTTTACCATGGACATAAGTTGCTGTAAGATCTTGAGGACTGGAAATAGAACACATGAAACACATGAAGCTGCCTTACACTGAATCAGACGCTTGGTCCATCAAAGTCCGTATTGTCTACTCAGACTGGCAGCTGCCAGTGTTCCCTCTAAACTGAGTTAGTGTGAGCTAGCTCAGTTTTTTAGCCTCCGGCTCACACATTTTTGTCTTCGCTCAGGAAGGGATGGCTCCAGAGCAAACTAATTCATGCAGTAGCCAAATCACCGGCTCACAACTTTAACGCCAGTAGCTCACACAGTAGAATTTTTGCTCACAGGACTCCATAGCTTAGAGGGAGCACTGTTCTCCAAGGTCTCAGGCAGATGTCTTTCCCATCACCTCCTGCCTGGTCCTTTTTAACTGGAGATGCCGGGGATTGAACCTGGGACCTCCTGCATGCCAAGCAAAAGCTCTTCCACTGAGCCACAGCCCCTCTTTACAGCTCTCCAGGGTCTCAGGTGGAGGTCTTTCACATCACCTACCTCCTGGTCCTTTTAACTGGAGAGGCCGGGGATTGAACCTGGGACCTTCTGCATGCCAAGCAGAGGCTCTGCCACTGAGCCACAGCCCCTCTTTACAGCTCTCCAGAGTCTCAGACTGAGGTCTTTCCCATCACCTACTGCCTGGTCCTTTTTAATTGGAGATGCCGGGGACTGAACCTGGGACCTTCTGCATGCCAAGCGGATTCTCTTCCACTGAGCCACAGCCCCTCTTTACAGCTCTCCAGGGTCTCAGGCTGAGGTCTTTCTCATCACCTACTGCCAGATCCTTTCTAACTGGAGATGCCGCTGGGGATTGAACCTGGGACCTTCTGCATGCCAAACAGATGCTCTACCACTGAGCCACAGCCCCGCTTTACAGCTCTCCAGGGTCTCAGAGGTCTTTCCCATCACCTACTGCCTGGTCCTTTTAATTGGAGATGCTGGGGATTGATCCTGGGGCCTTCTGCATGTCATTCAGATGCTCTGCCACTGAGCCACAGTCGCTCCCCAAGCACTGCACTAAAAGAATATGCCACACTGTCTTTTTGTGTGTTGCTACGTTTGCTGTATTTTTCATGAATCATGCAAGTGTTGGACTAGATGGCCTGTACAGCCCCTTCCAACTCTGTCATTCTATGATTCTATGATTGTACACATTCTTAGGTTCAAGCAAGGCCAGACTCTCAAAACCTTGATGGAGGGCAAATTTTATTAGGGAACAGAAGAAATCATTTTAGCGAATACATTTACAAAGAAGCAGTTCTAAACAGGGCAAAGCATTTACAGAATGGAACAAAGAGACAGGAAACGGGTCTGTTTCAATTAGGAAAGATTAAGGAGGTGTGCATGCAAATTATGTCTGGCTCTGAGTCTTAGATATCCTGAGAAACTCCAAGCTGGCTAGTGTTCAGCGCATAAGAACATAAGAACATAAGAGAAGACAATGTTGGATCAGGCCAATGGCCCATCTAGTCCAACACTCTGTCACACGGTAAAAAATACCATGTGCCATCAGGAGGTCCAGCAGTGGGGCCAGGACACTAGAAGCCCTCCCACTGTTCCCCCCCCAAGCACCAAGAATACAGAGCATCAATTGATCAGTACTCAGGCAAGTCTGTTAAGGGTTTCTTGACTGCTCCAGATTTGATTGAAATAGTCCTTGAGAGTTTATTGAGGGGGCAGGCAGTTACTGCCTCGGCGCCCCAGGATGAGACTGCCTCTGCGGCCCCTGTAGCTCCCCAAACGGCCTCCGAGAGCACCAAAACTACCATAAAGATCACTGCCTCCGGAAAGCCCACTGCCAGATCCACCATAACTAACAGCACATGGAGTGTTGCCTCCCACAAAGACTAGTTGACCGGTCGCAGAGAGGATGGGTCCGGGGATGGTCATGACGACAGGTGGTGGCTGGACCACGACTTCTGCAGGTGGGATCTGGTTGATGCAGGAACGGTTGACCCCTGAGAGGACACCCAGGCTAGCGAAGGGCACCCCAGAGTTGTGGCCAAGGCTTGCTGAGCCAAAGCCAACGACTGGAGAAGAGGCCACAGAGGGCACAGCAAAGGATGGTGACCCGGCTCCAATCAATGTGTCAGAATGGAGGCCACCATAGCCGAGGCCTGCTGATCCGAAGCCAACGGCTGGAGCGGAGGCACAGGAGGGGACTGCAAACATCAAAGTCGAATTCTTCTGTTTTGCAAAGACGGGCGATCTTTTCAACGGATGAACAATCAACGTGGAGTGCTGTTGAAAACTAAAATGTCCTGGATAAAAATATCTGCTCCAGTAAAACATGTTTAAAGCAAAACCAGGAGAGTGATATCATGATAAAAAGGAAGCTTTATTCAGGAATGCAAATGAAGGACAGGAGTGAACAGTATGACAAAGAAGGGCTTGGAAAAAGACAAACGACTGACATTCGGACATGAACAGCTTCCTAACAAGGAAGGAGAGAAGGGGGGGGGGAGGAGATGGATGACATTTATAGAGTAATCGAAATATTTCAAT